TTTCGCTTCTAGTTAGGAGTCTTTTTTGAGATAGACTTTTAAAATCCAGATGCCTTAATTTTAAACAAGTGCGGTGTGTGATTTTGGTCTAAACCTAGGAGCAGTTGAAGAGGACCAGGGCCCTTTTTATGATTTGATTACGTCCTTGTGAAAAATAACAATAGAGGATTTGCCACTGCGTTTTTAAATTGTTGATTACCAAGCCACTCAAATTTGTTGTAGTCGTTTTATCTTATATCATAAGGATATAAACGCATGTAATCTTTACAATTACACATTTCTTTAAGTACTAATTGAAGTTTCGACAACCTATGTAAGCACCTATAAACGAGGATACTGTCCTTTGGATATACGTTTTGATGACACAAAAAATGTAAGATAGATCTAATAATACGAAGTTATTCAAAATTATCTAACTATAATTGACATATCATCCTTAATCAATAACAGTTTGTCATGATATTAAGTTTATTTAGATAAATACGTCATAACTCTTTACCTTAAGTTCCCACTGATCGTCAGATTTTAACTTGAACACCATTTTACTATGCTGGGTAAAACAACTTTAATAATTTTTGCGGTCCTTCTGGAAGGAATTGATGGGGTAAGCAATACTTGAATAGTGAATCATTAGACAATTTATATTAAAAATATTTCCCTGTTATAGTACAACCTAACCATTAAAACACAAAATGGTTACGTAAAAGGCTACGAACAAACAAGTGCTGCAAACAAGAGCGTCACATATTTTGCCTTCAAGGGAATACCATATGGAGAACCCCCTGTAGGACCTTTACGTTTCCAGGTAGGTGAAGGTTTCACTATCATAAAAACTAGTCATCAGACTGCCGCTAGATACAGTGTCATTGTTGATCTTCTGGGTCAAAACTTGAAGAAACTCAGATGTTTGGCCATTATGTTAAATGAACTCTATAAGTGGAACTTTTCTGAATTTTATTATTTGTTAGGATCCAAGACCAGTGTCATCATGGGATGGAGTAAAGGAAGTAACAGACTGGGCGAATTTTTGTGTTGTTCTTGAAACATCTTTAGCCGGTAATCCTGTTGTTGGCAGTGAAGATTGCTTATACCTAAATATTTACGTTCCAAAAACAGAAAAGGTATTAAGTACCAGAAAGAACTTCTTAAAAGCTCGTACTAGAAGCTAAATTTTGAATTTACAGAGAAACGAAGAACTTTCATTACCAGTAATGGTTTGGTATCATGGAGGTGGTTTTGTGCGTGGTGGATCTCGTCCAAATCCCTCGTACTATATTGAAAAACCTGTTATAATTGCTGCAGTTTCATACAGATTGGGTATCATGGGTTTCCTGAGTACTCTTGACGAAAACGCGAGGGGCAACGCTGGTTTGAAAGATCAGACTTTAGGATTGAAGTGGATCAAGAACAACATACGGTATTTTGGAGGAAACCCGGACAGGATAACTATATTTGGGCAAAGTGCTGGAGGAGCTAGTGTTGAGTATCAACTAATTTCGCAGAAAAGCGCAGGTGACCAGAGCTTTTTTATGAATGTCTTAAATAAAGAGCAGCAGCAATAAAAGAGTAGTAGTAGTAGTGGTAGTCTTTTGAATTCTAAACATCTCAAGACTGTTTGATAATTTCGGTTCTGTTGATACACTGATACATTAATGAAACACAAGCCACTAAATTACCTAAATTATTTTGTTTCTATTTTCAGGGCTTTTTAATCAGGCCATATCACAAAGTGGTAGTACTTTAAATGAATGGGGATTCCAAGAAAACCCCTTGGAATTAACATTGAAACTTGCAAGACGGTTTAACATAACAAGCAATGATACTAAACAGGTCATTGCCGGATTACAAAAAATTGACATGGAAGTACTTATCAAAAACTCTCAGGTTGGTCTAGTACCTAAAGCATACTATTATGTAAGCATCTTCCTATTACTTTTATTATTTTTGCTTGCAGCTTGACGGAAAATTTCTACCGAGCGTAGAAGCTGAAAGCAATGAGGCTTTCATTAGTCAAAGTTCTTACGATTTGTGGGCTGCTGGTAAATATCACAAGGTACCATTACTTATTGGCTACAACTCAGAGGAAGGTGCTAATAATAAAAGTAAGTAACCACAATTCACTGATATGGTCACCATCTATACCATCTATATAAGCTCTAGTCTGATAGTAGAAAACCCTTTTTGGAAATTAGAAATATATTAGTTTTCTGCTTCTTCTATATTCGTTTCTTTGGGTTAAACTTTTCCGAAGTTTTTCTTCTATCTGCATCTTCTCGCATGTGGGGCAATGGTTAGCAATTAAATGTTTGTAGTGTTTTGAAGCAAATGGTACTTACTATTCGTTTCAAGAAGTTGGAGATATGCCTTTTCCCTTTATTAGGATGCGCCGTAGCATAATTCCAAATTCAAAATTCGATCATATTTCTCTGCGTAGCTCATTTCTTCACCGATCATCGAGCGAGAGCTAGACAAAAGTGTACAGTACCAATTGCAAAATTATTTAAACTGCCTCGTTAAAATTTAAGAATATGCTTCATTTAAAAGCATATTTAGCCAAAAATAATAACAAGTGAATTAAGTTAACGTTCTACACACCTATAAAACTTTTGCTTTGTTTTCTATTGTTAATTTATATACATTTTTGTTTTAAGAAATTGCTAAACATTTTCGTCTAGTACTGTACAGTTCTAGCCGATCTCCTAAGACCGCCCATCGAGAGCTCTGCTCGTTCAAGCTTGTTCCAACTATTTCTGTCTTGCTCACGCCTAGTGTGTATTCTTTCTATCTTCGCGCAGATTTATTCAAGGTCACAATTCTTACAAGTTGAAATGGACTGTAGTATATATTTGCCGTCTTAATTGTTGTAAGCAAGGTTGCAGTAACTTTGAATAATTCATGCACTTCCTTTTTTGAGAGGAAAGTTTAACGATAAAGTTAATTAGAGGACTTACGACAATGTGTTTAAATCCTTTGATTGGCTCAATTTTTACAGCAGTTCTCTAATATCACCCATATCACCCTGTAATACCATAAATTAAAAGCGACTACATTCGGCATTCGGATGAAAGATAGTTAACCAACTGCAACGGTTTAAAGATTGTAATCAACGATGCGGCAAGTACACTTAAAGACATAATAATGGCTCCTCAAGGGCTCAAGCGACCCTTCATTACGATGCAGTTGAAAGAAGGCTTAAATACCCAGTTAATTGTTTAAAGTTATTTCGATAAAAAGCACAAAGATAAAAAAATATGGTTTTATATGCGTAGACAGATTAATAGTAATAATGGTCCAATAATAAACGAAACGTTGTAGATGTATAAAACATTCTTTTGTTTGCATTATAAAGATATCAATTTAATTTTTTATACAGATGGTGCCTCAAGATACGCTACAGATCCTAAAAAGGTGATTCCGGCAGGTCTTCATGTTAGTAAAAACTCCCCAGTAGCTGATGAAATTGTTAAAGTCATAAGTCAAAGATATTTTCCTGGGAACTCATACAGCAATTTTACCAATTGCATTAATGTAAGTATCTTCTTATATATTCATGTAGATGCATGGATTAGTTTGTTTCAGAAAAGATTGAGAAGTTACTAATAGTAATCATTAATNCCATATATCCTGCTTTTAGCTTCACTCTTCATTTCTAACCTTTTGAATCCACGATACATATTTGCATCATCCATCTATACTATGGGAGAGTATCCTATCCTCAAACGTGCTTCTAATAATCTCCCTCAACTTTTTCAAAGAAGTGTTGAGAAAAAGGAATAAAGTGGACAGATTTTACTGAAATTCAATTTACTAATATAATTTATAATCACTCTTGCTAAAATTATCTACCATTAGTCTGTTCTTAATCCAGCCTCAGCTCTACCTGCCACCAGTGCTTAGTCCTGTGAAGTCTGAGACTAGAGCCATAAAATATTTTAGGTACGACACAATTTTAGAGCTGATTTGTTTCGGGTCTGTCCATTTGTAGAACCTCGACACCGCTGATGACTGACTCTTATTGTAAATAAGAGAATGTTTAACAAGCTGGAAGTGGTGGGAAATGACTCATTTTTAAATTTCCCATAAGCTTTTCTCTTTATTCTTTTGAATAAATTCTTTCAGATACTTGTATAGAACCAGTAAAATAAAAATTCAAATAAAATCCATCAACTTTATTCCTCAAGGCAACTCATTACCTGGTCTCATTTTTTCCTATTTCTTTATTCTAGGAATCCAACCCCAAAAGCAGATGCACTGTTTAATAACGTGATTTGGCCAGAAGCTCATACGGATGTTCCTAGTAAAGATGACCTTCGCTATTTGGAATTAGGTTATGACTTGGTTCCAGGAATAAGTCCCGATCAAGCGGACTTTTTATTCTGGAGAAATCTTTTTCAGAAATACGCAACGACGACTGTTTATACATACTAAAAATAATTAAGTATCCTAGTTGTAGTATTATCACCACATGATATGTATAATGACGAAATATATAAAGGGATTATGGCAATATTTATGAGTCTTATTTGAAGATATGTCTATTTTAAGTTCTCTCTAGGCGACTTAGGATGGGTTAGGCTAAGGTAGGTTTAGGTTACATTTGTTTCTATTTTAATTTCTATAGTACCTACGTTTGATTATTATGCAAAACTTAGGAGTCGTTCAATGTTTAAACGTTTGTTAAATATCTAATCGCCGAAAATAACGTGCGCCATTAATTTAATCTTTGGCTTGCTTCTAGATAACATCTGTGAAAGAGGGACGTTAGAATTCAAGAAATTTTAATGTAAATAGGCACGACAAACATAAGCCCGTTAATCATACTCGTTACTCTGTTGACAAATCCAGGCGCAATGCGTGAGTGTGCACCCGGTGAAGTTTCTATCTCTCCATGATAGTACTAACTCATTGTGAATTTAGAAACAACTACGACTTGTTATCAAAATTACAACTCCTGTCACTTTCTAATATAGGAACAAGCTTTTTAAAAATCATTTAGGAATTTTTCAAATGTCAATCGGATATTTCAAAAATTGTAATGTAGTATTCTAATAATAACTATCATCATCATCATCACAGTTCGATGATCATTAGTTGAAGATCGACTGACCTGTACACCTTTCTATCCCCAACCAGACTTTACATTTCAAAACTATATTTATAAAATCATTTACTAATACAGCAATGCATAACAATTGTGTAGGATTTTTTAAACATATTATAAATAAACATTTATACAGTGGATTTCATTTATTACGATCTGGGTTATAAAGACAATTTTGCTATAGCGATGTTAAATCTAAGTCCCTTGAATTTAAAGCATATTTTAGTATAAAAGTCATGTGGCTATAGTGGCTTCGGATGTAGCGGCGAGTTCGGGTATAGCTACTATTTTTAATGAATCATTTGTAACAAATCCTTAGCAATACCATGCAGTTATAGCGACCGGAGTCTGCCGCCAATGACACAAAGGGCTTTCTTATCTTTCGTTTACATCCTCACAGATGCTTAGCAAGTGAGGCGGGAAAACAAAAAAAAATGGTGTTTTAAGAAGCAACTGTGTTGAGTAAACTTTTGAATAAGTATGACTCCTAGATGCACATTTACTGTTAAAAAAAGGTGAAAATTGAAAAATGGTGAAAACGATACATACTTGTCTGGATCTCTTTACCTTGGTTTGTAACGACTTACAGTGGTCCCTTTGTGGTTAAAATAATAAATAGAGTAGTGTAATGTAGAATGTTCTTGGATGAACGGCGTGC